GAGATTACTTTTTATCTGCATTTATTCCTTCATTAGAAATTATATCAATTATATTCCTCTGCGCCAAGGACTGAGAGAAGCATTAAACATTTAAAAATAAATATGATACTATAGTCTGTGACCTCAAGGAGTCACAAATGAGTGAATGATCCACGCTGCCTGCTGTTATCATATAATGGGAATATTTGTGTCGAGACTTTGAAGGCTAAGTAACAGTTTATCCCAAGATAGAGAGGTGAAGAGATACAGTGATCCTGCAGATTAGCTTTGTACACAGAATACATCAAAGTAGAGTATATAAAAAGTAGATTATCTGTTTAAGTATCTCATCTGTTTATCTTATAAACAGATATCTTACTTCTCTTATAAGTATACTTATCTGTTTAAGAATGGATTACAAGCATAACTAAGCAGTTTCCTGGGAAGATGTGGATCCTGGGGGACAGTAACTGTATTTTTACTCACCCAGTCTTTATTTCTTGTCCTCCCAATAAGCATGTATTCTATTCTCCTCCTCCACCTAAACTTTCCTTCATGCCTTAAAAAGATGTCCTTCATCAAAAGAAAGGCACATTTTGTACAAATTAATTATAATAAAATTCTGGCTTAGAACAATCATATTATTTGAAAAATTAATATAACTCAGAAGAGTTCTATATGCCAAAGATATGACTAACTACATAGTCAGGTACACAGTTGTGCATTCATTCATTTTGTACTTAAGAAGTACACAATGACATTATTTGAATGCTGAGTGGTTTGTATTTTCCTTCTTTTCTATTGACATTGTTAAACATTGCTATGGTTTTGAAATTATTAGTTGTTTTCCTACTCTTAAAATTTTTCTTGGACTTGCCTCTAACCTTTAAAAAACACCATGTTCAATCAGATATTCAAAGAGGAGTGAGTCAAGCCCTTTGGAAGATATTTTAACTATTTCTGATTAAACACACTCAGGAATTCAGTACTATTCTACAAAATACATTAACTTTCAACCCAGCTGATTCCTCCATCTATGTACCAAATATATTTTAATGAGAAGAAAATTGGTAAAGCACTTCCCAAAAGCATGTGGCATATATAATTTGAGCAGGTATCTGGCAGATAAATTGCCTTCACTATTACTTGGGAAATGAAAAATCAGGTTGTCGAATGGCCGGGAGCCACGTACAGAGTACGTACTGAGCACCTACCAAGGACAAGATGCACTTTAGGATAGATGAACATGGTTTCCTTACTTAAGGAGTTGCCCGGCAAGTGGTTATATGAAGGAGGCATGTGGTAGGAGGCATCAGAAGTGAAGCACAGTGGGATTCCAGAGAAGGAAGAGATGGCATTCAGGTGCAGAGCCAAAGGGAACACGTGAGCTGGTTCTTGAAGGAAAGGTGGGATTTTAATAAATAAGGGACTTCGTCTTGTTCCCACATGATGATATCCTTGAGAATGTCCATCGTGGCCCACTGCAGGGTGCAAGGGCAGAAGCAAGGACATCAGCGAGGAGGCTATTCCAACTACCCAGGCAGAATCTGATGGGGGCTTGGATCTGAGGGCTGTACGTAAAGGGAGAAGTGGTTGGATTCTGGATATATTTGGAAGATAGGTAGGGCTGTAGGATTTGTTGATGGGCAGAAAGTAAAATGTGAGAGAAAGGGGGGAGTAAGGTGTGGGGCTCAACCCACTGAAAGAGCAGAGTTGCCATAGTGGAGATGGGAAGCAGAGCAGTTTGCTTCTGGAGGTGTTCAATGTCGCGTGCCCATTGGGCATCTAAGTGGAGAAGGTGGTTGTCCATCCAAGCCTGGAGCTCAGAGCACAAGCTCTGGCTGGAGGCTCAAAACTTGGGAGTCATCAGGATCTAGAGTATTCAAAGAGTTCACTTGGAGTTATTCTAGAGAAGAGGCCCATCCGTGGAGCCCTGGGCCCTCCAATATCTAGAGGTAAGGTGCGGTGGATACGGGAATCACCAGTGAGCTGAGAGGGGAAGGAAGAGAACCAAGCTGAGGAAGTGTGTCAAGAAAAGAGAATAGTGTCTAGACATATGCCTCAGACAGATCAGCTAAGCCATGAGCCTTGATTTTAATGCATAGCCTGCTCAATACCAGTCATGTCTGTACTACCCATTAGTGTCCAAAGTATTCTCTCCTTGTCCCATCTCCTGAAGTGAAAGACGGTGTCTTTTCCCACAGGTTCCCTGTACAAACATATGCTAGACTCCCACATGGGAGGCCCACGTGTATCTTCAACTGGGTCCTGGTCCTCTCAGAAATCCATGGGCAGAACAAAAACTCAGAGGCACTGCTGGGGCTGGAATCCCAGCTATAGGCCCCAGTGCAAGAACCATCTTCCAAGAGCTGTAAAGGCAGAGCAGTCTTCTCTTCAAGTCACAGAGAAAAGGTGTGTCCTCTTTCTGGGTTATGCTCAGATGAGCAAAGCAACCTGGGTTCCTAGAGCTCTGTAGGGAAACCCTTCCTTTACTTCTGTTTCTCCCTCTGTCTCAGTCTCTGTCCCTATCTCTTTTACACACACACACACACACACACGTAGACTGTTTTTTCAAGGTTTACCTCAGTACCAGGACCCCAAAAGAACATGGAGGCCTCCATCTTGAGCAGAGCCCCCCCCCCATTATTCACTCTGCAGTTTGTTTGGCTTGCCTCCTGTCCTCCAGGCCATCAGACAGAGATTATTGAATGGGGGGGAGGGGGGACAGGGGGGAGAGGAGCTTCATTCAAATTCCCAGTCTCCCTAAGGGGGTCTCCTTAGCCCACGTGTAAATTAGTGGCACAGAATAGGGCAGGGAAGAGGCGCTGGCCAGCTTTTCCTTCACCGGCATCAGATCCCCAAATGCAAAAAAAAAAAAAAAAAAAAAAAATTATGCTAGGGGCTTAGTGGCCTTGACAGCAATATCTAAGCCCTGGCTGAAATGTTCTATTACCAGAATCTGCAGCATATGTTTTATCTTTTCAAATAAGGTCAAAACTTCCCTACCTCCCTCTCCCTAACACATCCACCAAGAAAGAACATTGAAAACAGAATGAAAATATCTCACATGAAAAACTTAAGGTACTGTCCTTGATGATGACGAGCTCCCTCTTCATAGCATACAAGAATGACTGAATTCCAAACCAAAGAAATTTGAGAGCAAAATTAATGTTTTACAGCAACTAGCATTTTGCTTGCAGCATCGGTAAAACCAAGTGTCCACCTGTGACTAATTTCTTATGAATACAAAGTCCACTGTGCTTCTGGGAAGGATGGTTAGTGTTTGTCAAGTTTTTTGTGTGACGATACAAAAATATAACTGAAAAGTTCATCAGAGGGCCAAAAGTGGGAACAAGACTCAAAGGCATGTTGATTATTTCAAATACCCAAGTACCAGAAAGCTCCTACAGTCCCAATTCCTGATCTTATAAATGCAATTATCATGCAAGTGACTATAATAAAAATTGATGACTTTTGTATACATACAGAGTTTATTACATGCACTCTAAAAACAGAACATGTATGATTTAAATCTAAAACAGTGATTTTGCAGGAATGGTCTATTAGGTCCTCCAGCTGGTCCACAAATCTCTTGTTTCTGGTATGACTAAAATTTGCTTATGCTTTCTTCAGAAGAGGGGCCAGTTCTTCCCATAACTTTTCTATCACCAACCATGAACAGGTGATGTTTAGGGTCTTTTAATTTCTTTAAAAAAAAATGGACAGACTGAAAAAGTTTCCTACCATTACTCTAAAGTATCTTAATGAAAAAAATATATACCAATCTGAAATCACAATTTTTTGTTCCAACAAATCCAACATTCTTCTGCGATCTGTGGTAGCAAACAGGAGCTGACATACAACCTAATTTAGCCATTATGACAACTAGCAGCAGCTCAAGCACTAAGTCACCTCAATAACCCAGTGCTATTCTGCCTCAATTATCTATGGCTTCAATTCAAAGTGTGTAGAAGGGGTTTTCATCTTGAATTTGTTCAAAATATGTGGCTTAATTTTCAATTTCAAATAGGTCTTCAGTAAGCTCACAAGTCACCAAAATACAGCACCAGAAGTTAGACATTTGAACACTTTTATTAAAATATTTGCACATAAAAAAATTCTTGCTCTCATGATACAAAACTCTGTACAAAATGTACCAACAACTGACATCATTATAAAGGAACCCTCAAATCAATGGGACCTAATCTTGAGCACTAAGTGAAGGAGAAATAGGAAGAAGAATTATTTGAAAGACAACTTCATGATGGCATATCCATAATACAGCTATCAAAATGTATTAAGTCTTTGCACAAGGGTGTCAAAATCAATTGTGTCAGGCTCTAATCTCATCCCCAAGGAATCCTTGGATTGGAGAAAGGATGATGGAAATACAGTTGTAGGACGCAATCTATATTATCCTGTAATTGATTCTGTTATTTTTATGGCTAGCTCTGTTTAAGATTGTATAAGGGGTCCTCACACCCCTGATGGTTAGCATGGTTGATGGATGCAGCTCTACCTGCCGCCGAAAGAACTTCCAAAGAGTTGAAGCCCGGCTCACCAGGAGCTGTGATTTTGACACCTTTGCATTTGCTGCAGTGTGTACGTGGGCCACACACACAAGGCAGATCTCATTGGATTAACACTGAACTCACGACATCTCCACAAACTCTAGCAGAGAGTAAGTAATGCTATCTGCAAGGCTCCCTAACAAACCTGTTTCTTTCATCCACCCTCCTCACTCTCCCCGTAGGTACTATTAGGGAAGCGTCCCCTCCTTACCTCTAGGGATTCCTCTGCACCCAGAGAAAGGAGCTACCCTTTCTCCCCATTCCCAACTGTTTGGCTTCCTGGGGACGCCCCAGCTGCTCAGCTCACCCCCAGGATGCGAATCCTAGGAGACCTCATGATTGACTTCAAAGGGAGCCTCGTCTAGGCTGGAGGCTCGGGCCCCCCACTCGCCCCTGGCGTCTCAGAGGCCCTCTCCCCGCGTGGCCCTCTGCCTGGCCCCTCGAACTCACCAGGAGGAGGTTGTGCGCCACCAGGTACCCGAGCCGCGGGCTGCCCCGGACGCCCGGGGCCAGGCGCCCGGTGGCGTAGCCGTGCCAGGCCACCACGTAGGGGTTGTCGATGGTGATCCAGTACTTGACCTGGCCGCCGAAGTGGCGGAAGCAGAGCTCGGCGTAATCCCTGAAGTGGTCGGCCAGGGCGCGGTTGGCCCAGCCGCCGTAGGCGTCCTGCAGGCGCTGGGGCAGGTCCCAGTGGTACAGGGTGACCACGGGCTGCACGCCCAGCTCCCGCAGCCGCTCCAGCAGGCGCCGGTAGTAGCGCAGCCCCTCGCGGTTGGGGGCGCCCGCGCTGCCATTGGGGAGCACCCGCGCCCACGAGATGGAGAAGCGATAGTGGGTGACCCCGAGCTCGCGCAGCCCCTCCGTGTCCCGGAAGACGTTGTTGTAGCCGTCGCTGGCCACGTCCCCGGTAGCGGGCGGGGACGGAGACCGGGCGCCCGACGGCAGGCCGGCTACCGGAGAGTCTCCCGGGGGCGCCGGGGGGTGGTGGGTGAACGTGTCCCAGATGGATGCGCCCTTGCCGTGCTGCCGCCAGCCGCCCTCCGTCTGGTAGGCGGCGCTGCCCACGGCCCAGAGGAAGCCGTCGGGGAAGGTGTCGTGGAGGAGGCCCGCGGCCTCGGGGGCAGGAGGCTGCGCGAAGCGGGCCCAGGTCTGCGCCCCGTCGCCGGGCTCGGCGTGCAGGCGGCGGCCGCCCAGGGCCAGCAGCAGCAGCAGCGGCAGCGGTGGTGGCGGCCGCAGGCGGCGCGGCGGGGCGCGGGCGGGCATGCTGCGAGGGAGCCGGGCGCTGGGGCGCCGCGCCGCACCCCTATATGCCGGCGCCCCGCCGCGCCGCCCGCCCCTGCTGGCGCGCCTACCCCCGCTTCCCCGCCGGGCCCCGCTGGCAATAATTACCTGCGAGGCGGTGCTTCCCCCTCCCGCCGCCCGCCCTGGAGTCGGGGGCGGGGGCGCAAAGGGCGAGCGCGTGCCGGGGAGGAGGCGCGGCAGCGGGCAAGGTGCAACGGGCGCCACTCCGGGACGTCGGAGAAAAGGCACCTGTTCCTCGCTGCTCCCCGGAGCCGCAGAGGAGGTTCGGCAACGCGAGTTCTCTCCGCGCCAGCTTCTCGTTCCCCTCCGCGCGCACCGCTGGGAGAAGCCATCGAGCCGGCGTTCGTAGAGGAGGGAAGGCGGCCCACCAACTTTCCCCGAGTTCGCGCGGGTTCTTTGCCTGCCCTCTCGGAGTCCGCCAGCGGAGAAGCACCTTGTTTCTCCTTGCTGTCACTCGGAGGCCGAGAACAGTTGCAGACTGACATTGCTAGAACCGATTAGGAATTGGCCGAGATCATATCGGGAGGGCGGCGGGGGGCGGAGGAGGGAGCGGGGGGGGGGGAGTCAGGTGGGAACTTGGAATGTGGTGAGAAAGCGACTCGTGGCCCACTTTCCTTTAGAGTCTTTAGGTGAGATGCTCTCGCGGAGAGCCGTCCCACTGCCGCACTGACGGATGGTCGGTCCCCCAGGCCCCAGTCTAGAAAGCCTGCAAGGAATACAAAGCAGATGCTTGGGTTGCCTTGGCACTTTGCTTGACTCTCCCTCAGACAGTGACCTTTTAACCATTTCAAGCCAGTACTTGTTCTTAAGTTACATCCTGCAGAATTACTTGCCCACGGCCCAGAGGAAGGGGAAGGTGGCATGTTCATGTCATGACAGTTTTGATTGTTCTTATTAAAAAAAAAAAAAAACTTTTTAAAGAAACAAAAAACAAAGTACCAAGGTTTCCACTTTGAATAACTGTCATGCACCTTTTTTTATCCTTTTGCATGTGTTTTATGAATAATCACGTTGTAGCTTTCAGCTCTGAACTTAGCAAGTAACTTCTCTGTGAAAAGTTGTGCCCGCAGCTGTGCTGGAGGCCGAGGTCCCTGGGTCCCACAGATGCCACCTGAGCTGAGAAGGGAAAGGGGTGGAGGGGTCTAGCCCAAACAACCACTCCCGCCCGCTACAACAAGAGATTCCTGAGGTTTTTCCAGTTGCCAGAGAGCTTTTTGACAGAAGTTGTGGAGGCACAATCTCCATTTGAAGGTGTATATAGAGGTCTGTGAATACCTGATGTACATCTGGTGGGGAGTGGACAGCCTGGGCCCCACCTTTGTGAAACAATCTCTCCTCCAAGCTTTAGGAATCTCATCTGTACAATGCGGGTGGCCATGGCCACGTCTGCCCTGTCACCTGAGAGGCCTGCAAAATGCAAATGTAAAAATGTGCACACAGATGACTCAATCATGGAAAGCACAAACCTAAGATCGTGCTCATATCTTTTCCTCCCTCTCCAGTCCCATGTGTCTCACTCCGGGCACATCTGCACCTGTGCTCAATGACTAAGATCCTCACTGAGGTACATCCGTTCTTGTCAAATGATCATCCTTGTGCTGTTTCTTACAAATGTAAAAGCAGTAAAGTTTTAAATGTTGCCGACGCAGGCAGTTTTATTAATTTCCTTTAAGTGTAAGCACAACAAATTTATTCCAGTATCTTATTAAATAGTCCCAACTCCAGCTAGCATATATTATCATGATTAGTAAGATTAAGCCATCAGACTGGAACAAGACCTATCGTTATTCTCTTACATGTGGCATTTACATTTTTCAATAAATGTGAAATAACAAAGAGTGACACTTCAGCAATTGAAAACATTACGCCACACAACTGCACGGGCACACTCGCTTCCAGCTAAGTGAAAAAGCTCCTATGTCTGCAGAATCACATTTCCATTCTAGAGCCCAAAGCTAGAGCATTTGCTGCATTATAGCTTGTTACGTTTCAATTAGAAATGCTTCATGGGGCTCATGGAAAACAGCTTAGACTTAAGTGTTGGCTTATTGATGTATGGTCTGTTTGCTCAGGGCAGATTGTATCTATTGCAACTTTTATTTAACCAACGGTTAAAAAAAACAGAAACAAAAATGAGAGAGGTTTTTGTTTTATTTTTGTTTTTGAGCGGTGATTAAAAAGAAAGGACCTATTTGATTAAATACTCACATTTGAAGTTCATCTCTCCTAAGTTGGACATCAGAACTTCAGCATTTGCAGAGATATTCTCAGATGATAGTTTATTTAACCCAATGATGAAGATTCATGATAATTAAAGTTTATTTCCGGAACTTGCTGTTTTTTTGAGTTTCTGTTCATGGTTATTAAATTCTGGATTCCTGAGGTGTGAATAACTGCAGGTGTTGCTCCTCATTTGTTCAGTTTTATTTTGGTTCTCATCTTTCACACTACGTTCAAATTCTAAAATGTGGGTTTCAGTCAATGCTTTGTTTTCCGGCAAATAAGAGATTAATTCCTTGCTGTGCTTTGAATATGAAGGTGGAGTTATTGATGCATCAAAGGAAGGGAAATTTTAAAATTTACTTACAGACTTCTGTCATGGTGATGATTTTCAACAACCTAAATAAAGGTGGTCCTCAAGCTGCCCATCATCCACATTCCTCCTCCAGTCTCTCCTCACCAGAACTTCTGTGGGTTCCAGGGACGACTAGTGCCCTCCCCGGCCAAGGGAGCAAAAGGAAGTCCACCAACCAACATGGGCCCAAACACAACACCAGCCTCACAAGCTCTCAGCTCACCAGCCGTGACATTCAGCCTCTATGGGGAGGTACTGAGAGCATCACCGACAATCTCTCTGAGCAACAACCATGGGCAAAGCAACCATGAAGAGCTTAAGACTTCAAATCACAGGTGACACCCCCTGCCTTCAAAGACAACACTGGACTGGAGAAACAGGGTAAAGAATGTTGATAATAAATACATTGTTGAGCACTCACAAATGACACACATGATAGCTGTTACAGGAATTCGGGGGAAAAAAAAGTTATCCTATTTTGAGTTGGATGGAGAAGTTTCACAAAGAAATGGGACAATATCTGGGGTTTATTTATTTATTTTTTAAATACTTTTTTTAAAGATTTTATTTATTAATTTGAGAGAGAATGAGATAGAGAGAGCATGAGAGGGGGGAGGGTCAAAGGGAGAAGCAGACTCCCTGCTGAGCAGGGAGCCCGATGTGGGACTCGATCCTGGGACTCCAGGATCATAACCTGAGCCGAAGGCAGTCGCTTAACCAACTGAGCCACCCAGGCGCCCGATATCTGGGGTTTAAAGAGTAAAATTGGCAAGGAGATCTGGAGGCAAGGATGACAGAGAAGCAAAACCTGGAAGAAGAAAAGTGTTCACAGTATATTTGTATTAAAAACACCTATTTATGCAGGGCAATAGTGGACTGAAAAGGCAGTTACAGGCTGGAGATTTGGACCAGAAATTTAGATACTGGGATTGTGGATAAAATGAGGGTATTCCAAAAGAGACAACTAAAAACCAAGGGCCGAGTGTTAGTATAGGTCTCCATCAACGGGGATAGAGGGTGGAGTAAGAAAGGGGAAAAAAAAAGAAAACAAGACCCATAAGGGAGTCCCTCAAGTCTCAGGATCATGTGTATTTCAAGCTAAGGAGAGGTGATCAAACTTGTTGAGAAAAGACAACCGATCTAGAATTTAGATCATCTGCTGCTTTTGGAGGCAGATTTTATTTAAGTTGTATGGCGGGGGGCTCAAGCCAGGTTGCAGTGTGAGGCGTCAGTGAGGCAGCCTGTGGGGGCTGAGGAGATAGAGGCCAGCAGTACAGACTCGGCTGAGATGCTGGCCAGTGGGAGGAATGCGAGAAGATGGTCACTTGAGGGGTTTGCACGGTAGAGAGGACATTTTTCAGGGTGAGCAACTCTGCACCTGTTTGTGCACAGTGGAGGAGAGGTCAAGAAGGAGAAGGCGAATCGGCAGTCCAGGAGTTCGTCTTTTTGATGAAGCAGAATACTGTACAGTGGCAGCTGCAATCTAAAGTAGATGGCTGGAGGCTTTGGAGGTCCCAGCATATTAAACAGGGAGACCGTAAAAAGAGCACAAGAACAGGAGCATGCAGCTGGAATGCTGGAATGCTGGAGAAGGCAGCATGAGCCAGTGCCACAGGGAAGCGGACCAAAAGCTACTAAGGAAGCGACAAAGGGAGCTCCACGAAGACTGAATACACAACCTTTTATTTTTCTTCAAATTTGGAGTTTTTTAATCATACAAAGATGAGAAGTCAAGTTCTGTAACCTAAAAATATTTACTTATTAAAACTACATTAATACTTTCATAAACTATACAAAATGATGAGACAAACATGTACATTTATAGAACTGCAGGTCAGTCATGCCAGATCCCTGGGGAGGGAATTCCCAGCACGACCTCACTTGTCTGTGAGGACACAGAGCAATCCTTGTTCAGGCATACACATTCAATTCCTTGTCCAGCATGGTCAGCACTCTACTTCTTGATGGTTTCCCTCAGTTATGAACGTGCATGTCCAGTTGTCTGCTTCCTAGAGCAGACATTTACCTTCCTCATCCACCAGCCATTGGAGGAGGACTAGGGCCACGTAGATGATTAATTCGACCCATTTTTCTGGGAGGGTTGCCTGGTGGCCCTCAAAACACCACGAGGTGGGCTCCTGGGCAGCTGCAGCTCCGCTGAGCTCTGTGGAGCTGAAGTGGGTGATGGAGGCACCCGCTTGGGTTCTGGCGGCTTCGGCAGCCTGTGGAAAGTGAGCATTCCTGGAGGGCTCCATCTCTTCTGAGCAGAGCAGGGAGCCCGAGGGCTTGGAAGCTGCACCCTCTCCCCCTCCCCACCCCGTCCTTCTAAGTGACACTGCTGCCTCCCTAGCCCGGAACTAATTATAGCCCAACTAAACATGTCCTG